AGTAGTATATAAACTATGCTCTATTTTGCAGGTTTGGATCTTTCCAGCGAAAAAAATCTACCAAGGCATCATCAATTGTTGGTGACGAGCTCATTCCTCTAACAAAGCACCATCTCTTGAGATGTCTTTGAGAATTAAACGAATACTTTCTCAACACTTTAAACAAGTGAATGATGAGTTTGCGAAATTGCTGATAACAGGGAATAAATTCAATTTAAACTCAAGACTAAACGGCATAGTAAGAAATTATAATAGAAGATTTCAAATTTGGCTAAATCCTTTGAGACTACTACTAGTCTAGTAAAACTATTTAGCAGTTTTAATGAATCCATGGAAAACGTCTACCAAGGCATCCTTAAATGCTAGTGACGATCTCATTCTCCTAACAAAGCACCAATATTAATCAGTAACATTATATTGTTGACATCTACTATTATATTATAATTAAAAAAACGTCAAACGAGTTAGTCATGTTTTTTCTTCTTCTTGATGTACCTATCCGTTACGAATGTTAGCGATCATCATGGCAATCTTTATGCAGCAATGTCCAGCAATGCAGAAAAGCTGCACAGATGTTGTATTGAAACAGATTCCGATGTTATTTAACCAAAATGATTACAAATATATAACATAGTGTAGCATTAGCTTTGTTCTATAATGGCGTATGGTACTACTATACTATACTAGGATAAGAAAAAATATATTTTTAAAAAGTCAACAAAATTAATGACCTACAAATACTACTTTTAATATACAATACTACATTTAAGATTACAATAGATGCTCAAAGTGCCCTCCATTGTTATCCATTCACAAGTAATATCTTCGTCTCAAATTTTCTAATGCGTCAGATATTGTGTTATTACGACCGCGCGTCGTAATTTTCATATTCCGCGTGAACTTTTGCCGTAATAGTGTATTTGAATCAAAATACACTTTTTCTTGTAAAATCCCCATAAGAAGCTATCACATGGTGTTAAGTCGGGACTATTTGGTGGCCATATAACGGTACCCTTATCATCGACCCACACATTAAATTGATTATTTGAATGCTCTTGAACGGCTACGACATTATGTGGCGGTGCTCCATCTTGTTGTCATATACTATTTAATTGATTTTGTGTATAATTTTGATTTAATAACTTATCCACTTGTATGACTGTGTCCAAATATGATTCCCTAGTTAATTTATAATCATAAAACAATGTTCCAACTATTTGTTTTGCAATATTCCGCACCACAAATTTATTGATTTTCTTCCTGACTTTTTTTATTAATTTTTCTTTTTCTATTATTTTTCTGTTCCCACGAATATCTATTTCTTCTATTAAAAATGTCTTAAGTTGAAAAATTTGATTCATCTGTCCATAAAATGTTATAAAAATAATTAGGATCATTGTTCAAATTTGTAAGCATGTCTTGACAGAACTGTAAACACTTTCTCTTATGAACATCGGTAAGTTCTTGTACCGGTAATATTTTGTACGGCTTATAGTTGTGCTTTTTTAAAACTCTATGTATCGTCGACAGCTTTTCTCTAATGCATTAGTAGCATTGTGTCGACTAGTTTTGGAATTTTCTAAAATAAAAATGTTTTTATGGATTTAATCTATTATTTAAGTATTTAATTTATTTTATCTTCAAAGTATTAAGATCTTCATCATCATTTCCTACGATAGTACGTTTTTTCCGTTCAAACATTTTTTTATTTATGACATGACGATAATTATATAAAAATGTATTTGCAGAACAATTCCGTCGATCTGGATAAACCAGCCTATATTCCCTTCTTATCGCTTGCTTGTTTTTATTATTTTTTACATAAATTGAGAATATAATATCTTTTTCATCTGCAGTATAACCCATGTCGGTATGAGGACTGACAGTTTATAATAAATTAATAATTGTTTCATTTTGAAATGTCAGTTGCATAGCCACCTATGGTTACCCTTTTGTAGTACCATATGCCATTATAGAACAAAACTAATGCTACAAAATGTTATATATTGGTAATCAGGAAGTGCAGGGCTACTCAAAACTATAAAAAAATACAGAGTGTCCCATTTGAAATATTGAAGATGAATTTTATTGGGCACTCCCTGTATACGAAATTTGGTATGTTGCTACATTGTTGGTCGGTACAGATACAATAATACAACTTTTATTTAAGAAAGATGGCTAACTGAACAGTGTCACGAAATAAAAGAATATGAAAAGAAATATGATAGTTTCAATATTCATCGGAAAGTGAAGGAAATGACGTCGGGAAAACAAAATAATATACATGTTATAAAAGACTCGAATGGTAACATTCTCACAGATACAAAACAACAACTAAACAGATGGACAGAATACATAAAAGAACTATTCGGGGATGACAGACAACAAATCATAGATGAGGACTCTGGTGAATCGGGACCAAAAATTTTAAAACAGGAAGTTCAATACGCATTAAAACAGACAAAAGGGAAAAAGGCCACAGGTCCGGATGAAATCCCGATTGAGTTTCTTAAACTGATCGATGATGAAATGATAGACATTCTAGTAGAACTTTATGATCATATTTATCAAACAGGTATTTTACCAAAGGAGTGGTTAGTATCCACATTCGTAATTATTCCCAAAAAGCAAAATGCAAAAGAATGCTCAGAACACCGTACAATTGCATTAATGAGCCATGTTTTGAAAGTATTTCTACGAATAGTCCACAACAGAAATTACAGAAAGCTGGATGATGAAATTAGTGATAGTCAGTTAGGCTTTAGAAACGGCACGGGAACCAGGGAAGCATTGTTCGGTATAAATGTGCTCATGCAAAGAAATCTGGATATGAACCAAGACATGTATACATGTTTTATTGATTTTGAAAAAGCATTTGACAAGGTACAGCACAATAAACTAATTAATATTTTAAAAATGAAAAACATCGATAGCCGCGACATCAGAGTAATCTCGAACCTCTACTGGAACCAGAAAGTCAAAATAAGAATTGAAAATCAAATGTCGGAAGAAATAGAAATTCTTCGGGGTGTGAGACAGGGCTGTGTATTGTCACCACTGCTGTTTAATATATATAGCGAAGCCATTTTCCAAGAAGCTTTAGGAGAGTGTAACGATGGAATGATAATAAACGGTGAAATTATTAATAATATAAGATATGCCGATGATACTGTCATATTCACTTCAACTCTGCAAAGTCTAACAAACATACTGGAACGGCTGAATGAAAAGTGTACCATATATGGTATTAAAATGAACTTAAAGAAAACAAAATTCATGGTCATTACAAAACATCCAAAAGACAACGAGACACTCCATATTAATAATATCCAGATAGAAAGGGTAGATAAATACAAATATCTAGGAACATTGGTTAGTCAAAACGCAGAACAAACGCAAGAGATTAAAAGCCGTATAGAAATAGCAAGGGCAAAATTTGTAAAAATGAAACATCTATTGTGTAGTAGAGACCTAAGAATGGATGTAAGGATAAGGTTATTGCGCTGCTACATTTTTACAACTTTGCTCTACGGATCTGAGGCATGGACATTGAAACAACTGGAGATTAAGAAATTGGAAGCTTTTGAGCGTTGGTGTTATCGAAGGATGCTACGAATAGCATGGGTAGACAAAATTACCAATATTGAAGTCCTTGATAGGGTTAATAAGAGGGAAGAAATTGTACAGACAATTAAGAGGCGGAAACTTGAATATTTCGGTCATATATTAAGAGGTCCTCGTTATGGGCTACTACGTTTGATTATAGAGGGCAAAATAAAAGGTAAAAGAGATGTAGGAAGAAGACGAACCTCCTGGCTACGAAATCTAAGGGAATGGTTTAGTCTGAGCTCTAGCCAACTATTTAGAGCTGCTGTAAGTAAAATAAGAATTGCCATGTTGATATCCAACCTTCGTTAGAAGATGGAACCTTAAGAAGAAGAAGAACTTTTATTTGAAACTTTTTTTGTATCCCCGAAATTACGGAAAATAAGTGGGGGTCAAAATATAATGAGGAACCCGGTACATATTTTAAAATATCGTTGACTTTATATTGAAATTAAAATTTTATCGACATGTTTAGAGCTACGGGACACTATAATTAATTAAAAGTTTATTATTTTTACCATTCAACTACAGTATTTACTACACTACAGTTTCATATTAGTGGAACTTACTTTTTCCAATGAAGTTTCCTGGAGCGTTACAAAGAAAAATGAGCATTAGATTTAATTAAAATATCAGTTAATCACATTTTTTAAAAATATTCCGTTAAGAAAAAGGAATTGTCATGATTAATCATGTTAACTATTGCATTGATATTGACACTGAAAAGGTTTGCGTGCACAGAACAGTGTTGTATCTCTGCAAGGAATAATCTGTTAATTGGGTTAGTTGGTGACGTCAGAAAGTCTACTAAATTGCGTATTACTATAATAAATGTCTGGCCGGGAAAATCGAAACTTTAGGTATTTTTGTTGATATTTACTTTGAACAAACCCTCTAACGTAAAAAGACTTAATAACAAATTTATTTTTTTTTTAAACTCTTTTATACCAAAAAAAATCATGATCTGATTACTCTGACTAAAATCATATATACCGATGAATTTTTTAAAGCTCGCAGCAAAGTTTTGAATATTTTTTGCATTAAACCATTATTTTTGTATAAACTTAAATCAAATTTTCAGAAACAAAGGTTTTTGATGTCTCACGAACAAATTTTCAAAACGTTATTTTTGCATTTGTTTGCGATTCTTTTTTAGATGCTCGCCTTAAAATATTGTCAACAAACAAACTTTGATAGTAAATTGAATACCAAAAAATTCTAGCCATTTTCGTCATATAGATCATGCTCTTCGAGATACTTAGGATGAAGATTGGAAAACAGGGATGTACGTGAGGTTGATTTAGGGTAATTCCAGCAATAATCGACACAACTCGGTGGGGTCACCCTCTCCAATTTGGCCGAAATTTACGCACATGTTGTACTAGACAAAAAACATGATTATCAAATTTTCAGACCTTAATATTCAAAATGGCGGCCGTGGTGCGCTATTGAAATTTCACGCTTTTTATCATTTTTTTTTTTCGTGTTTCGTCTTTTTTTTTGGTACAGCGAACTAAATATGCTTAAACAAATATCCACTATATGTTTTTCAATGTAAAATTTTCCGCTGAACACGATCCCGGTGTCAGAATTGCCACATGACGTCATAAAAAGCCACAAAATGCGAAACAAAGCGCTTTTTTTGAAAAATTCATCTCAAAAACACCCTCTTTAATATTTTTCAAATTTTCACAAAAGACGCCTTAATATAAGTACTGTCGAATAAAAGTTGTCTCAGAAACCCTTTTTATATGTTTGAAGCCGCTGCGCCCTATACCCAGACAGCATAGGAGATCTCTGGGACGTCCATTTTATGTCGTTTTAAGGTCCAAACGTCCCGGGACTTCTTTTGGACGTCCGAGGGACGTCCAAGGGATATTTCTAGTCGGACATACCAGAGACGTCCCATAAGGTCGTCCAAGGGACGTCCCATTAGGGATGTATTAGGGACGTGTTCTAGGTGTTAACTGTGTCATTTTTTTACCTAAGCATATTTTTTACAAAATATAATCTTCCTACCAAACTTTATTTTAAAAAGTTATATTTAGTTTTAAATAGCATTAATTTATACGAAAACAGACAGAGGCTCCTTTTAGAGAAAAATCTTTATCCTGTAGCAGAGCTGTATCCATCGAGCAATAAGATAAAAGAGGAATCTAATTGTTAAGAAAAGGAGACCAAAAAAGTGATGACTCTGATGGCGGACATATCCGGAAATGCAAAGCGCCAAATTTAAATTTCATGACACTTGACAATAATCATACAGTGGTGTAGGGGTTCTAATTTATCTATTTATTTATTTTATATTACATAATATTTTATATTATATATTTATCTATTTATTTATTAAAATACTTTTTTTAACACTAGAACACAATAAAGTTATAATTAATTAATAACGATAATAGTCTAAAATGTTAAACAATTGTTAAAAAACTTCAATAGAAAATATAAATAAGCTTTCATGTGACAGTTTTGACAAACAATAACATCAACAATAACATAACCCAACTAAATTTGATTTCTTAAACAAGGAAAGAGACTCTCTTTCCTTGTTTAAAGTGGCCTCTCAAAATAACACTTCCTATCTATCAATATGTTTGCCCCCACTACCTTTACATTCCCTCTTTTGTCTTATTGCTCGATGGCTGTATCTCTAAAATTGTGTTCTGTAGTGGAACTGAAATTTAAAAATTAGAAAATGAAAGAAGAATGTGGTTATGTTTTAACGACGCTTCTATTTATCTCGTTTATTTCTCGAATTATAATCATTGTGGTTGTGGTTGTAATTAGAATTGTTTATTGCTTTCGATACTAGTTTATAGTTTGGTAATTTATTATTATAGACATTAAGTAGGTATATAGGACTTTTATAGGTAATTTTTGTGGTTGTGGTGGGTTGCTACATTTGTAAAGTAAGTAGGAGTAATGTGCTTAAAAAACACTATAAATTTAAATACATATGTTAATATAAGTACATAATAAAAATTCCATTTATTTTTGCTTTTCATTTTATTAATTTTAAGTTCCCTTTAGATCCAGTATACATCCTCATTTAGGTCCTATATTAGTCCATGTGGACGTACAATAGATGTCCCCAATACATCCTTCTTAGGTCCTATATAAGTCCGTATTAAGTTCTGTATATATGTACTATGTACGTCCCCATGAACATCCCTGGGACGTCCAGGGGACGTACTTTTTGGTAACATTTAGATCTTATTGGACGTCCCGGGGACGTCCAAATTATGTAAACGGATGTCCGTGGGATGTCCGGACATTTAATAAGCTACATCCTTTGGACGTCCATGGGACGTACTTGTGCTGTTTGGGTAAGAGTCCAAAAAACGCCATTTCCCCGCCCATTTCAGCTCCTTCTCTTCGTTTTTCAGCTTCCAAATAACTTTTAGAGGTTTTATGACAACGAATTCGAATTCTACGGTAAATTTTACATAAAAAATGACTGTTTTGAATTTATTTACCACCGATTTTACCGTTTTATAGGAGGAGAATCAATATTAAACGCAGAATTTCGAGCTGTAATCAATACATTTTTTGCGCTAGGATTTTATTATTATTTATTATAATAGTTGTTCGTCTATATACACAAGGGTGGGCATGTGTGCGTATAACATACGTATATTAACAATAAATATAATTATATCAATATATATCAATATATATTGATATAATTTGATATAATTTTAATATCAAATTTATTTATGTGTGAAATCTTTTAAGTTCTGTAAGTATTGTAAATCTAAGTGTACGTCAGTTTTTTGAAATGTTTGTTTTTTACAGTTACTCCTGATGAAGCTTTTAAATAAAGAGCGAAATATTGAGTTTTAGAAAAAACAAAGATTTTTATTTAATGTAGACCACATACCCGATATTTCCAACATACTGATATATATATATATATATATATATATATATATATATATATATATATATATATATATATAATTTTACCAGATATCAAACCGAATGTTTATGCATGGCAAGCTATAAATGTACAACTGATAGTTCCTTATAATTATATTCTAAAAGATGTAACTGTGTGCAGACATAAAAATCACCTTCAAGTACAATTAGCCAGGACAAAATGTAACTTTGGTCTATTTATAAAACAGAAAAATGACAAATAAAGTATTATTATATTACAATAAAGTAATATTTTATCATAATTATAACAGCTTTGGTGATTTATCTAACTATGATAATATATATATATATATATATATATATATATATATATATATATATATATATATATATATATATATATATATATATATATATATATATATATGTATATATATATATATATATATATATATATATATATATATATATATATATACACCCTTGTGTATATAGACGAACAAATATTATAATATGTATAATAATAAAATTCTAGCGCAAAAAATGTATTGATTACAGCGCGCAATTCTGCGTTTAATATTGTGTCGCCCCCTATAAGACGGTAAAATCAGTGGTAAATAAATTGAAAATAGTCATTTGTTGTGTAAAATTTTCCGTAGAATCCGAATTCGTTATCAGAAAACCTCTAAAAGTTATTTGGAAGCTGAAAAACGAAGGAAAAGCGCTAAAAAAGGCGGGAACATCGCGTTTTTTGTATTCTTATAGGGCGCAACGGCTTTAAACATATAAAAAGGATTTCTAAGCCAATTTTTTTCGAAAGTACTTGTATTAAGGCGTCTTTTGTAAAAATTTGAAAAAAATTAAAGAATGTGTTTTTGAGATATGAAGATTACAAAAAAAGCCCTTTGTTTCGCATTTTGTGGCTTTACATGACGTCATATAGCAATTTTGACACCGGGATCGTGTTCAGCGGGAAATTTTACATTGGGAAACATATAGTGGATATTTGTTTAAGCCTATTTAGCTCGCTGTACTAAAAAAATCGGCGAAACACGAAAAAAAATTGATAAAAGCGTGAAACTTCAATAGCGCGCCACGGCCGCCATTTTGAAGATTAAGGTCTGTAAATTTGACAATCATGTTTTTTTGTCTAGTGCAACATGTGTGTAAAATTTTAGCCAAATCGGAGAGGGTGACCCCACCGACTTGTGTCGATTATTGCTGGAATTACCCTTTACCGTTTGAACATTTTTCTTGAATTTCACAACTCTTTTACCTGATGCACAGTCAAATTTTAGTTACCAACAATATTTACGAGACATTTGCAACTAATTTAACGCATTCTTAAACAGAATCCGACTGGACTAAAAAAAAGTCAATTAACTGACTATAATGATACTTCCATTACCTATTTCCTGCGATACGTCTCTTACATTGTTTCTTCCTGAAGTCAGTATTACTTCCACGTATTTATATTCTTTAACACTTTTTACTCCATTTGTTTCGTTCTTTGACTAAATCTCTAACCACACCATTAAATTGGATATAAAATATTTCTTGGATATAGATTGCCAGAAAAAACGAAAACAAGTAACGAAACTGGATATTGCGACTTATAATGTCAGATCACTGATGAGAGACGAAAAGCTAGCCAAACTGGAAAAAGAAGTAAAAAAGATGAAATGGGATATATTAGGATTAAGTGAGATAAAAAGAAAAGGGGAAGCCTGTATGAAGTTGGAATCCGGGAATGTACTATACTATAAAGGAACTGAAGAAGAATCATTAGCTGGTGTCGGTTTTCTTATCTCTAATCAGCATGTCCATAAGATTAGACAATATATTGGAATTTCAGAAAGGATTGCGGCTCTAATAATGGACATAAATAAAAATATAAGTTTAAAGATCATACAAATTTACGCCCCTACATCATCACATACGCATGAAGAAGTGGATATATTCTACGAATCATTGACACAAACAGTGAACAAATACAAAAGCACCTACACAATCATTATAGGCGACTTCAATGCCAAATTAGGGAGAAAACTAAAAGAATCAGAAAATAAAATCGGCAACTTTGGATATGGAACACGAAACGAAAAAGGAGAAACATTAATGAATTATATGGAAACGAACGGTCTATATGCGATGAATACCTTTTTCAATAAAAAACCACAGAGAAAATGGACGTGGGTCGCGCCCAATGGTTTAACAAAAAATGAGATTGATTACATCCTATCCAAAGAAAAGAGCATAGTACAAGACGTTACGGTCATAAACATGATTTCCGTAGGAAGTGATCACAGAATTGTTAGAGCCAAAATCAAAATTAACTCCACAACAGACAGACAAAAATTTAAACCATCTAAAAAAGAGATAGATACAGAACTTCTTAAAGAACGCAAAGAACGATACATAAACCAGCTAAAAAGAAGTGACATATCACAGCTAAAGGGTCTGCAACTAGACGAATTAAACGATTAAATAACAACAGAACTACTAGAAGCAGACCTAAAGATTGCTAATAAACAAAAGCGAAAACAACAAAAAATTAGCGCTAAATCACAAGATATGCTAAAAAAACGACGACAACTACTGAACGATAACAAAAGAAATACAGTGGAGTATACCGAACTGAATAAAACCATAAGAAAACAGATAAAGGAAGATTTAAAGAAATACCAAGAAGACCGCATTAAGAAAATCATAGAGAA